TGCTAACTTGGTTAGCAAAGATACGAGACTTAGTGTCCTTATGACATGTTGGAACGCTAGACTTCTGTTAAACCGACATGTTTTTTTCTTAAATGATGTATTTTGAAATGCTCTGTATACACATTGATATCATGTATGTTTTTTATATCTTGAATAATAAATTTTGACGTACCCTGTACATTTCGACTCCATGTTTGTTTTCAATAATGTAACGTTGAGTCCACAACACGTAAACCCTCGACACTTTTATGTCTCCTCTTCCTTCTGATAATGCTAACTTGGTTAACAAAGATGCGACTTGGTGTCCTTCTGACATGTTGGAACGCTAGACTTCTGTTAAACTGACATGTTTTTTAAAGATGTATTTTGACGCACCCTCTACACTTCGACGTCATGTTTTTTCTATTAATGATGCATTTTGAGACACCCCGTACACATTGAGGGATCGTAGGTTGAACTGTTGAGTTGTCATATTTTGTCTAAACCTGATTCATTATTATCAATATATCACTTTCGCGCTTCCACTTTTTATCAAGTCGTTCACGCTTGATTTGAAACCCGCAACGATACCATCTCCATCTCTCTTTGCGTCGATTACGTCACACGTGTCTCTCACTCTTAAACACATACACACCTTTATATGAAATATTATTTTTTCCCAAATATAGGTATATATTTCTATCTTCTACAAGAAAATGATGATTACAACTTCCCTAACATTCTACGGAAATTAAAAAAATGCGGTCAAGTATGATGAATGAGTCAATTTCGGTCCCGACAAAACAAAGGCAATGAATACCCACCATTCGCAATCATATCCAATATCTTACATTGATGTAGGGGCTAAAGACATCGTCTACCACGCGGACGGCCCGGGTTCAAATCTCATAACTATAAACTTTTTTTTTATTAGAATCACGTGACTGGAACGTGACAAAGGGGCCGATGATTGAGGCGAAGTACTAAGGGGGCCGAGGGGCAAGGGGGTCCACGCTCTTTGAATCGCTACAATACTCATTCCATCCTGCGTCGATAATGTCACACGTTTCTCTCTTCCACTCACTAAAGTTTCTCTCTGAAACACTTACCAGCGACGCACGACCTTGAAATGTACCAGAACTCGCCTTGTTCATCTACTCGATGGATAACGTAATAAAGAAATTTCTGAAATTAGAAAACGTGACAGTTCCGCTACTTCCTGGAAGTTGGAGGAGTGCAGTTTCAACTTCCCAGGTTACAGCCAAAAAGGGAGGAAAGCTTACGAATCGGATAAGTAACAACTAATGAAACTCTTATAAATCATATTAAGACACCTTCTGAGCCAGGAAAAGCCCGTAACAATGGCGCCCAACAGTGTTTAGTGCTGTAGGACAGAAGAGATCAATTGTAGTAATTTTGTGTAGTTCAATAGATATATTTTTCAGTATATATGGTTGAAATATCCTATTGCATATCGTAATTCAACTATTTACGTAGTGATAATTCCGAACATGAGCTGCGAGAAGAAACAATATTCAAGGTAATTTTTTTCCATATGTAAAATATTGCAACTAAGCAAATATTCTAATGAAAATCAGTTTATTGGAATTGTAAATCCTATTGAATTCAAAGATGAAGTTGAACAGATAGAATTAAATAATAACAGTTGCTAGATATGTTCAAGGATTTTGATAAATATAATTTATAATAATATCAAGACACGAAGTTACGTCTTTTATTCCTCATTTCATAAATTTTGGGCGCGAAATCGTCCTGAGCGGGTCACTAGAGGTGGGTAAAGATGATCAACTGAGCCATAATAGTGTAAATAGAGATCCGGATATAATAATTTCAGGCTTGTCTGGTTTTAAAGCAGTCTATGAAAAAGTTCGTGAAAAACTGAACAAAGCTTATGAACATAGTAAAAGAACATATGATTTGAGGCATAGAGATGTACAATACAGTGTCGGTCAAAAAGTGTGGCATAGAAATTTTGCCCTATCGGATGCAACAAAATATTTTTCTGCCAAATCAATTCATAAATTTATAGGGCCTTGTACAATAATAAGAAAACTATCACCTTGGACATATGAGCTAAGAAATGATAACAATCGTAAAGGACTCGAAACCGCACCCAATTGATGATGGGGGAATTTAAGTTGAAAAAAAAATATTGAAAATTTTTTTTTTAGGAAGGGGAGGGATGGTTACAGTATAATTTCTCTCAGAGTGGTTGGCTGTCTTTTTCGCATATTGTATGAATTTATATCAAGGTCATTGTTCTGCAAAGTTCGCAACTAGGTACGTTTCTCGATGTCTCGTCAACTTTAAATATCGCTCCGCATCAATCACCGACAATTAGCTGCCAAATTAGGTGTTCAACAATTATATTAATTATTTTGATTCGTGAGCGGGAGCCTAGACCCTTTCAACATTTCAAAATTTGAATAAGTAGTAAAAGATTTCAGGCAGGAGCACAGTGTGTTTATTTAGTGAGTGTGAAAATAAGAGTTCTGGAATATTTTTCATTACTATTACCCACGATTGGGAATTGAATTGCCGTGTTCCATTTTCAACAACTAGTGTTGTGATTTTATTTGTTATTACCTCTCTTGAAGGGGATACAAAGCTGAAATCAGACTCGAAGGCCACCCTTCATCAAAGGTATGGATTGAATAGTTGATAAAGTATTCTAGAGTTATAGTGTTCTATCTATTCTCTAGGTTTTTTCGTTTTATGCCGTTGCATAACGTAATGAAGGAATTTCTAAAATTCTGAAGCCTGACGGTTCCGCTGCTTCCTGGAAGTTGGGGGAATGCAGTTTCAACTTCCCAGGTTGCAGCCAAAAAGGGAGGAAAGCTTACGAATCGGATGAGTACCACCATTATTTCTTCGATTATTGCCATTTTCTTCTGACACCCAATTTTTTCACCAGCCAAGTTATATGTAGTTATTTTCAAGCTAACTTGTTTAACTATATGAGTAAATTAGACTTGTATCAACCCCTAGTACGTACAGGGCTAGGTATTAGTATATTAGAAAGTGACTTCATAAAGTCACGTAATATAGACGTTCTCTCTCTCCAAAGAAAAAGGTTGCATTAATTGACCTACTTAGGAAATACGAACCACCCGTCTCCACAGAGCTAACCAGTGTTCTACCCTACCTCAAATACTGGCTTTGGGTAGAGCACTATAAAATTTTGAAACGGTTTCACCCTTCAGAGTAACAATTGATGAAACTCTTATACATCATATAAAGACTCCTTCTGAGCCAGGAAAGAGCCCATAACAAGCTAAGAATTATATAGGGCACTTATCTTGACATTTCAAAGACCTAAATCTGGCCCCGTCTTCAGAATTTTAAATTAGATTTGTCACATAATTGAGTCATCCGATGAGTCATCGGTAGCTCATTATCCATGAATCATCAAGATAAATAAACCTCTGAAGAAGCCAGACACTCATGCTGGCGGAACGTTAGGATGCAGTTCCAAACTACGACGTCCTTCAAACCAGAATGGAGTGAAAAGTGAACTAAAAGATTTCCCTTTCTACACCTGTATAAAGTTCTCCATTACTATTGTTTTTTCAGATTATGGAAGGTGAATACTCACAGAAAAGGCAAGTGAAAATTTTATTACAATTTGATAAATGCATGAAGATTGAAATCGTTCCAAATAAACGGAAATATTATGGTTTCATGGATTTGTATTATGGAGACTATCCTTTTGAGGCACAATTGAGATTCTTATTTGAATTCAGTCTATATCTGAATATGTACTACTATTATCACTACTAGTTGATATTTTTCAGACCTACCTCAATACGCTCAGGAGCGATATTAAGAAACATATCGAACAAATAGTCGTTGGAGGGGACTTCAACTCAAAATCCTACCTAATGGGGATCAAATGTGGAAGACAAGAGAGGACAAGCTCTGTCTGAATGGATGACCGAAGACGATTTAAAGGTGCATAATACAGGGGAGGAACCTACCTTTGTGCGCGGAAGAGCGGAATTGCACATTGATGTCACCTTCATTACAAACAAAATCTGCAAGAACATACAGAACTGGAGAGTTCTAGAGGAAGAGAACTTGAGCGACCACCGCCACATACTATTCGAAATAATTGATCAAACCAGGAGAAAAGACTCTAATAAACCAACAACGAAAGGCTGGAAAATAATAGAAGGGAAAATGGAGATACTGTGCCAGGAAGTGGGTAAAAAACTAAGAGTTGAAATCAACCCGCTAACACCGAAAAAACTCACAAAAATACTTACAGACTCGTGCGATAAAGTATTTCCAAGAAAAAAACAACACAACTATAGGAAACCAGTATTTTGATGGTCTGCAGAAATATGAGAACTCACGAAAAACTGCCTTGGAAAAAAAAGAGCCATGGTGAGAGCAAATAAAAAAAACGACGAGAGTGAAAAAATCAGATGCCATGAGGAATATGCTGGCTGCAGAAAATCTCTCAACAAAGCAATATGGGAGGCAAAGAATAGGAGTTGGAAGGTGCTCCAGAATGAAGTAGATGCAGATAGATGGGGAAAAGGATACCAGATAGTCACGATCCCCGTACCTCCTTAAAATGTTAATCAGCTACTTCGAAGAGAGATGGCTAATGATAGGAGTGGAAACAAAAATGAAAGTAACCTGTGGAGTTCCTCAGGGATCCGTATTAGGACCTACTCTATGGAACCTCTACTATGACAGCATCTTCAGTATCCAAACCCCGGATGGAGTCAGGCTAGTAGGCTTTACCGATGATGTGGGGATTGTAGTTACAGCCAAAACGAAGGAAAACCTGCAAATGATAGCAAATCTGACTACAAAATATTGCAGAATGGCTCCATCATAAGCGATTAAGACTAGCTCCACAGAAAACGGAAGCAGTTCTCTTGGTAGCAGGAAGAAAAATCAAGACCATCAGCCTAGAAATTGAGGATACCGTGGTGGAGAGCCTGGAAAAGGTGAGATATCTAGGTATGCTGTTGGATAAAAACATGACAATGGGGGCTCATATAAGGAGAACAGCGGAAAAAGCTAACAAAGCCCTAGCGGCGATAGGAAGGCTGATGCCCAAAGCTAGAGGTCCGAGAGAGGCCACAAGAAAAAGTCTTGCTAAGCACTCAACGCCGGACGGCTATCTATGTAACTGGAGCATACAGAACCGTATCCACATATGGGCTAGACAAAGAATGGAAGAGAGGTCAACTGAGATGACCAACGCTAACACGAGTATGCTCGAAAGATGGCAGGAATGGTGGCAAGGAGAAGCAGACACACTGTGGACGCGCAGACTTATCCCGGATATAGCTCCCTGGTTTTCGAGGAAGCATGGTGATACCACGTACCACCTGACACAGCTACTAACAGGGCACGGGTGCTTCCAGACTTACCGCAAACACTTCCATGTAAGCAATAGCGACTCATGCATATACTGCGAGGAAGATGGCATCAAAAAAGACAAGAAGTGGAAACGGTCACAGGTCAACTATCACCAGACAACATAATAAACTGCTAGCATTCCAACATGCCAAAAGGGCACTCAACGTGGACTCAACGTGCGGGCAATGGGAGAGCGAAGTATTCGACAATGACATTTCAAAATACGTGGTTTTCCGTGCGTTTTCGATCGTTTTTCGTGCGTTTACGATCGTTTTTCGAGCGTTTTCGACCGTTTACGTGCGTTTACGGCCGTTTTTCGTGCACTTTCGATCGTTTTTCGTGCACTTTCGATCGTTTTGCATACGTTTTCTATTTTTGTTGAGGATATCATAAGGCGGTGAGGTTAGATAGAAGAGAAGAAATGATTTAAAATTTTATTATACATTTTTATTTTGGTAATATATCACAAAGCCATTTGTATAAAATATCTACGTTTCGGAGACTGCAACTGTAGTTGGTTCGCTTGCGAATGTGATGCATACAGGGTGAGACACCTTCGTTGTTGTCGAATGTGAGAACCATCCATGTTGTATTGTCACAGCCCTCCAAATTCACAACGCGTGTCGGTATATTCAACTCGTGAAATTTTTCAGTTAGAAAGTCATGTTTTTGATGTCCTCGGACATAAATGACATCGACACCTTGTAAATTTTCCTTAGGATGGCATCCAATTGATTATATTCCACAAAGCCAGAGGAATACCTCAATCCGTGAATGTTTCGCTCCAAGTAACAGGCGGCACGACG